CAAAAGTTGTTTTGATTACTAGTACATGCCACACCCTTTTGAGCTCTTTTTTAATTGTAGGAAAAGGTGCACGTTTCATCGAGTGTGAGATAACACTTTCTCACAGTTGCAGCTCCGTAACTATGTTGAGATGGCCACCCCAATCATTTGAGGCTATAAGTTTAAAATTTTGTTTGATTCGAGGTAGCCACCCCCTTTTTGAGCTCTTTCTTAATTGTAGGAAAAGGTGCACGTTTCATCCAGTGTGAGATAACACTTTCACCCAGTTACAGGTCTGTAACTACCTTGAGATGGCCTCCCTAATCATTTGAGACGATAAATACAAGATTTTGTTTGATTTGAGATGGCCACCCTCATCATTTCAGAGCTATAAATTCAAATTTTAGTTTGATTACAAGTAGAGGCAACACCAATTTGGGCTCTTTTTTAATCGTAGGAAAAGGTGCACGTTTCATCCGGTGTTAGATAACACTTTCACGTAGTTACATTGCTGTAACTATGTTGAGATGGCCACCCCATTCATTTGAGACTATAAATTCAAAATTTTATTTCATTTGAGATAGCCACCCACATCATTTGAGAGCTATAAATCCAAAATTTTGTTTGATTACTAGTGGATGCAACACCCTTTTAAGCTCTTTCTTAATTGTAGGAAAAGGTGCACGTTTCACCCAGTGTCAGAAAACACTTTCACATAGTTTCACCCCTATAACTATATTCAGATCGGCACCCCAATCATTTGAGATAATAAATTCAACATTTTTTATGATTTGAGTTGGCCACCCACATCATTTGAGAACTATATATTCAGAATTTTGTTTGATTACTAGTAGATGCAACATCCGTTTGAGCTCTTTTTTAGTAGTAGGAAAAGGTGCACGTTTCATCCTCTATGAGATAACACTTTCACCCGGTTACACCCCTGTAACTATGTTGAGATGGCCACTCCAATCATTTGAGACTATAAATTCAAAATTTTGTTTGATTTGAGATGCCACCCACGTCATTTGAGAGCTATAAATTTAAAATTTTGTTTGATTACTAGTAGATGCAACACCCTTTGTAGCTATATTTTAATAGTAGGAAAAGGTGCACGTTTCATCGAGTGTCAGAAAACACTTTCACATAGTTACACCCCTGTAACTATGTTCAGATAGGCACCCTAATCATTTGAGACAATAAATTCAAAATTTTGTATGGTTTGATTTGGCCACCCACATCATTTGAGAGCTATATATTCATAATTTGTTTGATTACTAGTAGATGCAACACTCATTTGAGGTCTTTTTTAAGAGTAGAAAAAGGTGCATGTTTCATCCCATGTGAGATAACACTCTCACATAGTTACACCCCTGTCACTTTGTTGAGATGGCCACTCCAATCATTTGAGACTATAAATTCATGATTTTGTTTGATTTTAGATGGCCACCCTCATCATTTCAGAGCTATAAATTCAAAATTTTGTTTTATTACAAGTAGATGCAACACACATTTGAGCTCTTTTTTAATAGTAGGAAAAGGTGCACGTTTCATCCAGTGTTAGATAATACTTTCACACAGTTACACTCCTGTAACTATGTTGAGATGGCCACCCCAGTCATTTGAGACTATAAATTCAAAATTTTGTTTGATTTGAGATGGCCACCCACATCATTTGAAAGGTACAAATTCAAAATTTTGTTTGATTACTAGTAGATGCAACACCCATTTGAACTCTTTTTTAATAGTAGGAAAAGGTGCACGTTTCATCCAGTGTGAGATAACACTTCCCACAGTTACAGGTTTGTAACTATGTTGAGATGGCCACCCCAATCATTTTAGATGAAAAATTCAAGATTTTGTTTGATTTAAGATGGCCACCCTCATCATTTCAGAGCTATAAATTCAAAATTTCGTTTGATTACAAGTAGATGCAACACCCATTTGAGCTCTTTTTTAATAGTAGAAAAAGGTGCACGTTTCATCCGGTGTTAGATAACACTTTCACACAGTTACACTCCTGTAACTATGTTGAGATGGCCACCCCAATCATTTGAGACTATAAATTCAAAATTTTGTTTGATTTGAGATGGCCACCCACATCATTTAAGAGCTATAAATTCAAAATTTTGTTTGATTACTAGTGGATGCATCACCCTTTTAAGCTCTTTTTTAATAGTAGGAAAAGGTGCACGTTTCATCCAGTGTCAGAAAACACTTTCACATAGTTTCACCCCTGTAACTATGTTCAGATGGGCACCCCAATCATTTAAGACAATAAATTCAAAATTTTCTATGATTTGAGATGGCCACCTACATCATTTGAGAGACATTCAAAATTTTGTTTCGTTACTAGTAGATGCAACACCCATTTGAGCTCTTTTTTAATAATAGAAAAATGTGCACGTTTCATCCAGTGTGGGATAACACTTTCACACAGTTACACCCCTGTAACTATGTTGAGATGGCCACTCCAATCATTTGAGATTATAAATTCAAGATTTGTTTGATTTGAGATGCCACCCACATCATTTGAGAGCTATAAATTCAATTTTTTGTTTGATTACTAGTATATGCAACACCCTTTTGAGCTATTTTTTTATAGTAGGAAAAGGTGCACGTTTCATCTAGTGTCAGAAAACACTTTCACATAGTTACACCCCTATAACGATGTTCAGATGGGCACCCCAATCATTTGAGACTATAAACTCAAGATTTTGTTTGATTTGAAATGGCCACCCATATTATTTGAGAGGTATAAATTCAAAATTTTGTTTGATTATTAGTAGATGCAACACCCGTTTGAGCTCTTTTTTAATAGCAGGAAAAGGTGCACTTTTCATCCAGTGTGAGATAACACTTTCACACAGTTACACCCCTGTAACTATGTTGAGATGGTCACCCCAATCATTTGAGACGATAAATTCAAGATTTTTTTTTATTTGAGATGGCCACCCACATCATTTACGTGCTATAAATTCAAATTTTTATTTGATTACTAGTAGATTCAACACCCGTTGGAGCTCTTTTTTAATAGTAGGAAAAGGTGCACGTTTCATCCAGTGTGAGATAACACTTTCACGCAATTACATGCCTGTAACTATGTTTAGATGCCCACTCCAATCATTTGAGACTATAAATTCATGATTTACTTTGATTTGAGATGCCACCCACATCATTTGGGAGCTGTATATTCAAAATTTTATTTGATTAGTAGTAGATGAAACACCCGTTTGAGCTCTTTTTTAATAGTAGAAAAAGGTGCATGTTTCATCCAGTGTGAGATAACACTTTCACACAGTTACACCCCTGTAACTATGTTGAGATGGCCACCCCAATCATTTGAGACGATAAATTCAAGATTTTGGCCCCGTTCACTTCGCTGATTCGAGTTTAGAATTCAAGTTTTTCTACAGTAAAAAGCTCTCACAAACAATCACATCTAACTTTTTTGCTACAGTAAAAAGCTCTCACATAAAATCACATCTCAACTCGAATCAGCGAAGTGAACGAGGCTTTTGTTTTATTTGAGATGGCCACCCACATCATTTGAGAACAATAAATTCAAAAAAAAAAATTTGATTACTAGTAGATGCAACACCCGTTTGTGTTCTTTTTTAATTGTAGAAAAAGGTGCACGTTTCATCAATTATGAGATAACACTTTCACATAGTTACACGCCTGTAATTATGTTGAGATTTTCTTCTTTCCATTCAGTTTTAAATCTGCACTTTTGTTTACGTATTATTCCTAAAAATGTAAATTCCGAATCTATCAGAAATGATCCATATTTAGCGCTTCCATCACAAAATCATTCAAATTAGACAAAATCTGTCACTTGGCCTTTCAATGTTTAGTTAACTAAAGGATTTCTAGACAAATCACGTTGGTGAAATAAATTAGGGTATCCAATACGTTCGTGTAGAGATTGTATTTGTTTTCTTTCTTTTTTTTTTGTTGTTTTTTCTTTTTTTTTTTTTTTAAAAAAAAAATTTATTAAACGAATCGTCAATTTGTGAGATTCTCACGTATAAAGTCTATGGGCTTGCAAAATATTTGGGTTTAAATAAGTAAGGCTATTTTTATCTAGAGCTTTAAAAATAACCCTGGCAAAAAATAAAGAAATTGATGGCATGTTCTTTTGTCTAAAAAAACTTAAAAAAAAGATAATTTGAGTTTTAATTTTATTTAAGTTTACGTTTTTTTAAGTTTTAACTTTATTCAACTTTACTCAACTTTATTCAAGTTACAACTTCAACTCAAATTATAACTCAAATTCAACTCAAAAGCTATATTTAAATTACACTTCAAAAGAACAACCCCGAGTGTTTTAACCTGTTTTCAAGCTTCGCCCATGTTAGCGAATCGTGTCTACACTCATATTATTTAAAGTGAATCGTACTTAATTAGTGAAAGTCTTACATACGCAGTCCCCGTTTTGTGTTGAGCTCGTCGTTTTTTCTACTTTAACCTTTTAATTTTTTTTTTTGGTTGACCAAAATCTAGAAAGTTGCACAGCGAGGCTAAGGACAAAGGAATAGAATAAACAAAACTCAAGAGGCCTATATCTCAATCTAACTCCAACCGTTTTGACACCAAATTACGTAGGGATCAAAGAGAATATATGTATATATATATAAGTTGCACAGCGAGGCTAAGGACAAAGGAATAGAATAAACAAAACTCAAGAGGCCTATATCTCAATCTAACTCCAACCGTTTTGACACCAAATTACGTAGGGATCAAAGAGAATATATGTATATATATATAAGTTGCACAGCGAGGCTAAGGACAAAGGAATAGAATAAACAAAACTCAAAAGTTGAAGTTATAACTTGAATAAAATTGAATAAAATTGAATAAAGTTTGAACTTAAAAGAACATAAACTTAAATAAAATTGAAACTCGAGTTGTCGAGTTTTTTTGACAAAAGACCAGGCCCTCAATCTCTTACAAAACTTGGTATCTCCTACTAAAATTCCATTTCGGTACATACTAAAAATCATGTACATTTTGACATTTTGTTTCCCAAAAAGAACGGAACAAGTACAAAGAGTTTTGGACACCAACTTAACTCTCCATTTCAGTCCATTTGTCCCCAGCCCCTTGTTGCCATAACTAGCTTTAGCCCACCAACCTAACACCTCTCTTCTGTTTTTCTTCCAAATGAGTGGATCCCACTCTCATACACGACTGTCAAAACAGAATTTTAATATTACCTGATTAAAAAGTGTCGTTGTTTTACTGATTCATACATAAATCAGTTGATGAACACCCTCTTTCAAGCCCATTTCTTTTCTGCCCACCATAGTCTTTTGTAATGGCTTTCCCTATCATTCCACAAAACAAGTTCCTAGCTTTCAGTATTCCTCATCGTCATCATATTTTGTTGCTATTCAGGTAAGTAAACCAGATGCAAAACCAATAACTTTACTCCTGTTTATTCGCTTCCTTAACACACGCACGCAAATACACATAGGATCATATTACAATTTACATGTAATAAATAGAAGTAAAAAGCGTAACATTTATCTCACGTAACACTTATGTTGAACGTATTTAACACCAATAAATTAGCTATTCAAACCATTGTTTATACCTTTTAAACGTTTTAGGTTGAACAAATGTCATGTCACATTTCCTGCTTCTATACGTTGAATATTTGAATGTACAAAGAAATTAATCACATCTTTAGTTTCAATTTTTTTTTTTTTCATTTTTTAAAGAACTTACTTGATTTTTCATTTTTGTTCCCGAACTTGATTCAACCATTTATTTGTTAAGATATATTCTGGTTGTAATGAGGCCTATAGACTAGACTAGAGTGGAAGTATCAATGTCCCTCCTCAAGCACTTTACTTGTTCAATGGACCTTGCCTGACTGTGACACAATTGGTGCTCAATTGTGTTGACAATATTGTCTCAAACTTCTTGTTCTACAATACGGCCACTGTACGCGACATAAGTGGCGCAATCAACCTTGGTTGCACCTACAACCATCAACGAGGTGAACATTAAATTTATCGAAAAGAAATTCAAATCAAATTATCATCAAGTAGCATCTTAAAATCTATTAAAACTTTATACTTCCAAGTTTTATATGGACTATAGGCATGGAAAAAGTTCGGGAAATTACTAGACAAGTTCACAAAAGTGAGATCTTAAATTTGAGGAGAGTTTCTTTGTGATGTAGGGATATTCAACTTTCGAGGATTTGCACAAGGTGAAACAAGCAATGCGGGAAGGTTGAAGAGATCGATCGTCTTCTATGTGTTGGTGATTTCAGGGTGGTCTATCTTCATCTTGGTCTGACATTTCCAACAAGGTGAAGCGCAATTGCTTAACCTACTGACATTTCCAACAAGGTGAAGCGCAATTGCTTAACCTACTGACATTTCCAAAAAGTACTAAAGCTTCACCATCCCCGCCCACACTACGCCAAGCAAGAAATCATTGAGTTCCAAGAAACGACACTCCTGTCGCTCAACATTTGCCTGAAAATATCCAAACCCACATCAACATTACCAGCGAACCATCAAATTCCAAATAATCACATCTCTACGAAGCATTTCATCAAACATCTTCTTTGCATCATCCATCCTCAAACAACTCACGCACAACTAAACAATCCCAATCTGGACTTTAGCCTTTTGGGTGGGGAAACCAAGAAATCGGGCGATCCCATGAAGGAAACGGGCATAGAGGCGAGGGACAGGATAATGGGGGAACTCATTCGAGCGGGGGAATATTAAAATAAAAATGGCTCATTTTTCGAATTAAGCAAGGAGGATCTCGAATTGTCTACTTGAAGTGGGGGGGATCCTTCCCATCCCGCAAGGGAACCGTGAAATCTTTTCTTTACCAATTTAGCGCTAGGGCGCTCATCCGTTGCTTCTTTGTAGTTATGTCAGACAAAAGCATTCTCCCTCTTTTGAACTAAACTCTTTTTCACTCTCAGAAGCTCTGTTGAGTCCTCTCTCTCTTTCGTGCTCTAACCGAGGAAAGGTATTGGCCCGAAACACTCGAACCCACCTCGAAAATGATGAGAATATAGTGGACGCACCAAAGGATCCATTGCACATATCAATTGGGCCAATCACAAGGGCAAGGGCTAAGAGGATCAAAGAAGCACTCAATGGGTTGATCCAAGAACTTTGGGCTGATTCTAAAAAGTTAAAGTCCACGATGGTTCCAAATGAAGATCAGGGCTTAGTCAATGTCATCAAAGTCATTTAGTTGTATTTATGTCTGAATTGATTTCAGATACATTGAATTTAGTCACTTAACTTTGTGGTGCATTGTTTTGCTATTTTAAGTAGTCTAAGCAGACAAGAAACATGGAATCTGGTCCATTTTGATTTCTGAGTTGTTTTAAAGCTTTAATTGCTGCTTTTCCTATTCTTGGAGGGTTGTTCCAAGTATAAAGACTAAGGGTCCGTTTAGTTCATTGATTCGAGTTTTTAATTCGAGTTGAAATGTGACTTTCTGTGAGACTTTTTTACTGTAGTAAAAAAGTTAGATGTGACTTTTTTTTAAAGCTTTTTACTGTAGCAAAACTCAAATCAGTGAAATGAACGAGGCCTAAGAATTTCGAAAATTGAAATCAATGAATTGAAAATACTTGACAAGGGAGAGTTGTTTCCTCTTCAGTTCTTCAGAGAACTTTCTAAACTTATCAAGATTCTTCTTGTGGCGTTCAATTAGACTTATCACTCACAATCCTTCTCTTCTTTCCTGAGTGTGGCGTCTTCCAAATTTCACATACCTTTGGTTCCTATCTCTAATAGATAACGGGTCAAGGTTCATGATGCAAATCATGGCACGACTTCGAGTGATGGGAGCACGGCTACGGCTAACACATGGAATCAAGATCCGCTTCAAGTTCCGATAGGACCAGTCACAAGAGCTTGGGCTAAACGGTTCAATGAGGCACTTAATGGATTAATCCAAGAGGTCCAGAAAACATAAGCATTCGTGGTCACTACCGATGGTGAGCCAAATTGGTCCAAGTCATCAAAGTAATTCCGGATAAGGATTAGCATGAAGTGGGCGTGTTACTGTTCACGCGCGCGTTACTATTCACCAAGTCTTAAGGATCAAGATCAATAGTTTGATAGTTATCTTTTATCACTACTTTGATAGTTATCCATTTTAATAGTTATCCTTAGTTTCTTATAGATTTAGAGTTTGTTTAGAAGTTAAATAAGGAGTGTTTATCTAAAATGATAAATTTCTTTTGTTTAGGATAAATTTCTTTATTTTAGGATAGAGTTTAACCAAAATTCGAATTTATGTAAATTCAGCCTATTAATAGGCGTGATTCATATCATTAATGATAGGTCAGTATTTTTTCAGTAAAAGTTTGAGCATTCTCTTTGGTTCTTTAAGAACTTCTTGAACTTATCGGATTCTCCGTGGCGTTCGTTCTTGACTTATCAATCAATTCTTCCATCATTGATTGTGGCGTCTTCAATATACCAAGGTTCTTTCTTCCATATAAGCAATGGGTCGAGATTTCCATTCAAGCCTGATTTTATAACGATCTTGGAGACTTTCTTGATTTGGGTTTCGTCAATGTTCTTGGCGGGGTTCATATTAGTTGGTATTAGAGCACAGGCTCTAGTCTCAGATTTGCCTATCCATTGATTATTTTCGTCTAAAAAAATTACAAAAAAAATTACGAAAAAAAATGACAGGAATTAAAGAAATTGAGAAGGAAAACTTTTTAATTTTCATTGAACTAGAAAACTAATTATGTACAACATATATATAGAGGTCAGTAGGTACAAGGTCACCGGTTCTCTTACTCACTGACAGCTAACAAATCTCCTAATTAATCAAGAAATCATACCTAAAACATCTCAAGTCAACTTTCTCTAATTACTGATTCTAATTACCTTAAATGTACCACATAAACAGAGAATGAAATACAAATAAATCTCTGTATTCCTAAGGCTAAGGAACCGGGATCATAATTCAACATTCCCCCTCAAGCTAGGAATAGATGTTAATCATTTCTAGCTTGGAAATAAGATCTTCAAATGTAGTTCGAGGTAGAGCCTTTGTGAATACATCTACAACTTGTAGACTTGATGGAGTGTAGATCAAATCTATTAACCCTTCCTCAACTTGTAGATTTAATGGAGTGTAGATCAAATCTATTAATCCTTCCTCAACTTTTTCTTTGATAAAATGGCGATCTAGTTCTACATGTTTTGTCCTATAATGATGAACGGGATTCTTCGCAATGCTTATTGCCACCATATTATCATAGAACATCTTCATTGGTTCGTAACTTTTTACTCGTAACTCCTTCAGCACCCAAACCAACCAAATTCCTTCACAGATTCCCTGAGCTAGTGCTCTAAATTCAGCTTCGGCACTACTCCTTGCTACCACAGATTGTTTTTTGCTGCGCCATGTAACTAGATTGCCCCAAACATAGGTACAATAACCTGTAGTAGACCTTCTATCAGTGATGGATCCTGCCCAATCTACATCCGAATAGACTTCCACACTTCTCTCAACATTCTTCTTGAAGAATAGACCTTTTCCCGGTGTCATTTTCAGGTATCTCAATATTCTATAAACAGCTTTGAGATGTTCTTCATTTGGCTTGCTCATGAATTGACTTACCACACTCATAGAAAATCCGATATCTGGTCGAGTGTGGGAGAGATAAATCAATTTACCAACAAGTTGTTGGTATCATCCCTTATCAACTAGAGGACTTTCTTTTGCCAACCCTGCCTTATAGGTCGACTCCATAGGAGTTGCAGCAGGCCTGCAACCTAACATTCCTGTCTCCTTAAGCAGGTCCAAGACATACTTCCTTTGAGAGACAACAATCCCCTTCCTTGACCAAGCTACTTCCATGCCAAGGAAGTATTTTAGAGTTCCAAGATCCTTTACTTCAAATTCTCTGGCAAGAACACCCTTCAATTCTTCCAATTCTCCCAATTCTTCAACATAACTTCCAGTTAGAATGATATCATCGACATAGACAATAAGAACTGCCACTCTACCATCCTGTGAGTGTTTTGTGAAGCAAGTGTGATCCGCCTGCCCCTGTATGTATCCATATCGTTTGATAGCTTCTGTAAACTTATCAAACCATGCTCTCGGGGATTGTTTTAGGCCATATATTGACTACTGCAGCTTACACACCTTATTAGTATTCCCAGCATTTTCAAAACCAAGAGGAATCTCCATGTAGACTTCATCTTCTAGGTCCCCATTTAGAAATGCATTCTTAATATCAAGTTGGAGAAGTGGCCAATTGAAATTTGCAACCAAGGATAACAATACCCGAACTGTATTGAGCTTTACAACAGGGGCAAATGTTTCTTGATAATCAACACCATAGGTTTGAGTGAATCCCTTTGCAACGAGTCTTGCCTTATAACGCTCCAAACTACCATCAGCCTTATACTTCACATTAAAGATCTATTTACAACCAACCAGATGTTCTCCTCTGGGTAGATTTGTAAGTTTCCATGTCCCATTCTTCTCCAAGGCCCTGATTTCATCCTCAACAGCATTCTTCCACTCTGGGTTCTTCAAGGCTTCATATATATTTTCGGGAATTTCTACATTGGAAAGATTAGTAGCAAATGCACGATATTGTGGGAAGAGGCCTTTAAAAGACACAAAATTATAAATGGGATGTTGGGTACAAGATCTGACTCCTTTTCTTAAGGCAATGGGAATATTAAGATCACTATCTGAAATTGAATCAACTTGAGTTTCAGTTTCTTGAGGTATACCTGGACTTCCATGAATTGAGTCAGATTCCTGATAGTGCTGGGAGTATGTGACTGGTTCTATCTCATCTTGGTTCCCCTTCCTTCTGGAGTACACAAGTAGTTCTTTATTACCTGCAAGTTGTGTAGGTTTTAGACTAGAGGTAGAAGTGAGAGGTTCGGGAGAAGCATCTACTGGAACTGAGTTGAATGGGACTCAACTTGGATTAGACTAGGCTGGATTCGGACTAGACATGGCTGGAATGACAGTTGGGACATGTTTAGAATTTGACTCAGGAATCGTATTGGTGTTTTCATTCCCTGGTTGGCTATACTCGGGTTCAAAAAAATTGCAGTCTTGTAGTCTATTCTCCCCCTGAATGGAATTTTTTGAATAAAAGGCCTGTGTCTCAAAAAAGGTGACATCCATCGAGTGATAGATTCTCTTTCTTTCAGGTGAATAACACTTATACCCTTTCTGAGTGGGAGAGTAGCCCAAGAATATAGATTTAATGGATCTAGGATCAAGTTTACCCCTATGCTGTGAATGCACATGCAAAAAGGCAGTACAACTGAAGATTTTTAAGAGTATACCTGAGGTAAGCCGAATAAAAGGGTATTGGTGAAGAAGTAGCTGATGAGGTGTATGAAATTTTAAGACTCTGGAAGGTATACAATTAATGAGATAAGAGGCAGTTAGAATAGCATCTCCCCAGAAGTGTTTTGGAACGTTCATGGAGAACAGAAGTGATCTGGCCACTTCAAGGAGATGCCGATTTTTCCTTTCTGCCACTCCATTCTGTTGTGATGTATCGACACAAGAACTCTGATGGATAATTCCCGGATGGACAAAATATTCCCCAAGAGTATCATTAAAGAAATCACGAGCATTGTCAGAATGGAAAATTTTAACCTTTGCTTGAAATTGTGTTTGGATCATTTGATAAAAGTTTTTAAAGATTGAACATGCCTCTGATTTTTCTTTCATGAGATACACCCAGGTTACACGAGTATGATCATCCACGAAAAAAATGAACCACTTTTTCCCTGAAATATTTTTAATTCTTGAGGGACCCCATATATCACTATGAATCATGGCAAAAGGTTGAGAGTTTTTATATCCCTGAATAGGATAGTTGGTTCTAACATGCTTTGCTAACTAGCAAACTTCACATTGAAGGGAATTAATGTTTATTTTATTGAACAACTCAGGAAACAGTTTTTGAAGATACGCAAAATTAGGATGTCCTAATCTATAGTGTCACAACATCACTACACTATTTTTATTGGCAAAATTGAAAGACGGAATTTAAACTAACAATGGGAACACTTCTTGCAAGTTGAACTTGTCTTCTCGGAATTTTTGGTGCCCTGATGAGATAGAGTCCTTCACATAGTTCAGCACTGCCAATCATCTTCCCCGATTCCAAGTCCTGAAATTGACATAGGGTAGGATAAAAATTAGTGACACAGTTTAGGCTTTTTGTAAGTTGGCTTACAGACAACAGATTATAGGTGAGTTTATGAACAAATAAAACAGAGTCCAAGATCAATTTATCAGATAAAATAACCATTCCAATTCCTGCCACCTTTGACACTGTGCCATCCGCAATACGAACCGTGTAATTTTCGGGGCACGACTGGATTTTATGGAAGAGACTTTTATTTCCAGTCATGTGATCCGAAGCCCCTGAATCAATAATCCATTTTGTGAGTTTTTCAGTCTGAGTATTTAAGGCTCTTGAAGGAATACCTTTCTGGGCAATTAAGCTTGACCCT